TATATATATATATACACACACACACATATTTTTGGATTTTTTTAAACTTTTCAAAATTGTATTTAATGTGTGTGTTAAATTCCATGAAGTAAATATATCTCTAAAATAAAGATTGTTTGAAAGATGGGATTTTTTTTCTTTGTCTGCATTTGGGCCAAAGGTCTGTTTTCTATAAAACTTATGTCTGTTTTAAGTTACACCGTAATTTCAACTACTTCACTATGTTGATTACTAGTTAAAAATAGTTTGCTACATTGTGTATAAATAGCCCAATGAATATTTGTAAAGTGACATAAATATTTTATAATATTAGGGAAAAAATACTTGCATAGCGTGAGTTAAGTAGATCCTGTGTTAAAATACCATCATTGTTTAAGGAAGCCTGAGTGTAATTCCTCATATGGTAATTTGGTTTTTCACATATCTTAAATTTTTTTTATTTCTCTTTTTGTGTTCAGATGCTGGAAATTCTGCAGAGTTCAGTCAAGTGCATGTGAATACATATGTGTGCATGCCCACGTGCTCACAGACAGAGTTCCTAATCTTACCATCTTTTGTTACTTCTTGGTACTTTGACTTTCCACACTTTGACTTCCACTGCTTCACATTTGAGTGTGAATTTCCTGGGCGGGGGGTGTTCTTTTATGTTTTAAATTACTCAGAATTTCCATCTGCTTTTACTTCACTTGTGGTTGTGAAGATCATGCTTGGCCGATGGGATCTTACGCTGTGCCGAGAGGATGTGGAGTTTTGTCAGCCAGGGAAATATGTCTGGCTTTTTTTTTTTTTTTTTTTTTTTTTCTTCAGCAGCTTTCATATACTTCTCTTCTTGTGTGGTCCCACTAAACTGGGTATATTTAACAGAAATACTCTCTATCTTCTGTGTGCTGCTCTCTTTTAAGCAGACTGTGTATAAGAAATCTGAGATCCAAACATTTTAGCCCTGACTGAAAACAAGGTAGTGTTACATAGAAAGGTACTTTAATAGTTACACGTTCCAAATTTATAACAGAATTCCTCATTCTGGTTGTACACAAGTATTAGTAGATCTGCAGTTACCAGTAAACATCCTAGTTATATCTTTGTTGAATATTCTGTGCTTTCTTCTTACAGGCACTGCTGCAATCTACAGTTCAACAGCAAGAAGCAGCTATTGAAAAACAGTATATATTAGCAATTGAAAAACATTCTCACAAATGTGAAGAACTTCTTAATGCTCAGGTATGGATATGCACCTACAAAAATCTTCATGGTTTTCTTTTAGATTCAACTCTTTTCTATTTGAAAAAATATTAACATATATGATCACCAATGAAAATAATCATCCTTTCACCTTGTGTCCTCAGCATAACAGTAAACAGAAGCATTTAAAAACGCAAAATAAATAATAGCTCTTTATTGAGATCAAAGGTATTTTATAACATTTAAATCTGCTTAGAACAGATTCAAGAAGAGTGTAGCACTCTTCTTAAGTAGTATTTACTACTTTAACAGCTGCCATTTTCTGTAGTCTTGGAGAAAACATGCAATTATTTTTAATTTATGTAGCTAAATGCAGGATTTTATTGTATGAGATTTGCACAAATTTTTGTTCGAAATTTTTTGATGCTTCTTAGATGAGAAACCCAAACATCTCTTGTTCAAACCTATTTTTATTTCATCAAACTCTTACATTAAAAAAAAACCCAAGTATCTATGAGGAATTACATAATATTCAGAAATATATGTACATAAATAGGCGTATATTGGCTCATTTAACATGACTTGAGTAAAAGTGCACTGCATAGCAAGTATTTGGAATCACATCAATTAATGATGACTATCTGAACAGCGTAAACCTGTTATTGAAAATATCTTGGTTTGACTTAAATACAGCTCTTAAATAAAAATAATAATGGACATTAGTATGTAAGTTTTTTTTTAAAAAAAAGCTAATTTGCTAATAGCATTCTGAAGTTGTTTACATTGCAGTCAACGGTATTATCAGTTACCTTTTAAGTACTGTTAGCACAATTCTACTAAAAATACAAAGTGTAATAGTTTGTTTATTTAGTGTTCTTGGGGCATATTAGACCTAATAACATCAAAAGTCCACTTTGAAGTATTCCAGCATTTCAAACAGTGTTTTATGACCATTTCACTGTTCTGACTATGTCAATTAACGCTTAGTGCAAACATGTATTACATATGTAAGCATCTGTATAAACAGTATGAAGGAAAGATGTAATAGTTTGGAGAAATCAATTCCATCATGAGGAGTTTATTGCACAGAACTACAGTTATTTAATGCTTACCATAAAGCTCTGCCTAAAAAGCAAGTAAAAATTAGTTTTAAGAAAATGTTTTCTGTTTCTGAAATGAACATACTGTTTACAGACTTGATGTCATTTTCTGAGTGTTAAAAAAGAGTGAATCTCATGAAATTTGGAAGCATTTTAGGAAGATTTTTTGAGGGTGTACTTAAACTGTTCAAAAATATTTCTCCTGTGATCTGTTGCATTTGCATCACAAACCAAAAGGTGGAGACAGAAATGTGAAAACATGTTCAAGAGGTTCAGATTTACCCGGGGTGAACCCAACAATGGAAGGGACCTGTTCTTGGTTTTAGGGCAGGAGTACTTGCGACATAATACAGTGCCCAGTTCACATCATACCTGCATTTAATGCAATGTAACACCCCTTTTGGATCCCAGAAAAGGTTTAAATTTTGTCCACACACTTAGAAGTCCCTTCTCATTCAACTCAATCAAGGTTTATCACCTTTAATTGTAATATAAAACTGGGATTTTGAAACCTAATCAAGTGGACCAGTGTGAGTGCTTATGGTAGAATATCAGGTTTAATGAAATAGGATTTATACTGGCAAATTTCGTTCACTCATAAACCTCTGTTGGAAGAGATCTGAGAAATATTTAGTACGTTTTTATTCTTTTTTAATACGTCTGTTCTTAAATGTAGGCTTTAGTGTTTGTTTTAACATTTGGTTTTATTCAAACGATTTTGTTCTGTAGTAACAGTTAAGATTGCTGAAATGATTACTAATGATTATACACCAAGTTGATTAATATTCTATGTTATGGAACTGTACATGCATATCCACCATTTACATGGAGAGTTACGAGTATCTGTATCACTGTAAAGAATTAATTTTTTTTGCCACAGTAGTAATCACAGTGCAAATATGTTCTGTACACAAACAGCTTTTTGTTTTGTTTTGTTGTTCACTTCTAACATTCTTGCCTTACAAGCATTATTTTGTCTTCTAAACTTTTAAGCCCATGTAAAACTTGGTCGACTCACATAATTTTTTGCCCTTATTTGCCATTCCTTCTAAATTTTCTCCTGTTTTATTTCCAGTTCCACAAAATCAAGATTATCTCATGTAGTAACTCCTTTTTCATGGTTTCTTCTAATCCCTTTTTCCCCCTAAATTCCCATACCCCTCCCTCCCAAAAGTGTCTTTTTGAGAAGGAGGTAAGGCTGGTTTTCTCTGCTGTCTTTAACCTGTTGTTTGAGTTTACTTAAGTTTCTGATTTTGAGGCTGTATTTTATCAGGTGTTCTGCCTGTGGTGGAGATGTATGTTAGAAGTCTGTCTAGAGAGGTACCATGCTGCTGATATGATCAGTGTACAAGGCTGTTACCTTCCAGGATGGGGGAAGATTTGAAAGGCCTAGTTCTATGGTTCTGTCTCAGTTTCCTGATGGACAAATTTCTGCAATTCATCTTTGATCGTTACATGTGAGGTTTTGCAGCACACTGGCTTGCTACAGGTAACATCATCATCATCTAAAGGAGGGAATGATTAGCCCATCAAAGCAAATTGTCTTTAGTACTAGATCTTGTTTCAGCTCTGTCAGCTATTTTTTCACTGTACTCTGACAGATGCCTTCCCCACCGATCCTAAAGTAAGAAAGTTCTGGTCTATTTTCTAGTTTAGTTTCATCTGCCTGAAGTTCAGTATACTCTCTGACATGTTATGTTGAACAGCCTCTCAGTGAAGTGTCCATCCGCATTAATTATTGTCACTATCCATTGCTTTTGAAACAAACGCTTGAGAGATGAGCTGGCGGTATCAGTTACTATTCAGTTATTGGCCACAGATGGTGGGTATTTCTACATCTACCTATTCCTTAGTCCATAATGTCACTTGTCTTGAATATCTGATCTCAAATGTCCCCTAGGTGTGGAGCTTATGGGTCCCTTCCATCTTTCCTGAAATGTGTTGAAAGGACCAGTTCCGTCAAAGAAATTGATGATCATTGTAGTGCATGCTTCCTGGGGAAAATCTCTAGGGCTGCTCTTATTTTCAAGGAAATACACTCTCACATCAACATTTCAAAAAACAAACAAGGCATTCTTGTGGCATATTCAGGGGCTCCAGGGTCATGGTGTCCTTCATCAATTAACAAGACAACTCTTCTCGTCTATGTGAGGAATCAATCGCGTCATATGCAATATTTAGGAGAGCAATGCATGTCAGTTGTATATTTCTAGCATTTGAGGATATCAGAGGAAATGTCACTGGAAAACACCAATCAGTTTATTACAAGTTGGACAATCACAAATTTCATCCTTATCTTTGTCTGAGAGAAAAAGATATTTGATGTTGCCACCTGAAAACGAACACCGGCTTTGATCTTGTGGTTTAACTCGTGCTGTATGAAAGTACATACTGAAAAACATGATCAGCAAACTTCTGAACAGAAATTTTTAATACTCAAAAAATTCGGGCACATATAGCAGCAGGTTAATAAAAGTGCTTCTGTATAGTCAGGTGTTCGTCAGTTCTAGAAGCGAGATACCACATGGGGCAGAACAATGTGTATCTTGTAAAGTTTGAATATTAAAAACAAAAACAAACAACACCCCCTTCAAACAAAACCCAAAACCAAACCAGACATCTGACAGTAAAATTTATCTCCTTGTGAGATTACTGACAAATTTAGAACATAGTTCTAACTTCTTTAGTAAGTGCTAGCAATGACAAAAGAGGTGTGGAAAAGGTCCACAGGCTATGCATACTTTGTTTTTTAGCAGGAAAGAGCAGCAATTATATTTATTTTTATATATATATATAAAAATATATAAAAAGTTTAAGTTCATTAAATATATCTCATACATACAGAGAAATATGGTTTCATCACTGAGACTTTGTAACTAAGCAATTGCCCAGGCTGGATGCAGCTAGGAGAAGCAGGTATTACTGGCGATATTCTGCTATTCCATACTTAAATATGTGGAATAGAGTGTCTTTCAGCTTTCCCTGTTTTCCAGTGTTTGAATAGAAGTAATCTGTTCAAACATCAAAGCAGGTTTTTTCCTGAACATACAGAAGACGTAGAGACTAAGTAAATTTTAAAAGCATGGACCATAAAAGGTTCCATAAAAAGATGGAGTAAGTAAGCGTCTTAAAAGTATTTACTATGTAGGACTAGGATATTCTGAGGAATTTTCTCATTAAGGTTGCTAGACCATGAGCATGATAATGTAAAAGGAATGACCTGTTTTCACTGGAAGCCCTAGAAATGATGTACCAGAAATTTCTGTCACTATTCAGTCAAAGTAGATAGTGTTAAAAGTGTAGACTATATTGAAGTTGATTTTTATATTCTTTTTAAAACAGTCAATGATCTGTGTATTAAGATAAAATAAAATCTTAAATATCTGCAGCAAATCACTTCTCATAAATGAGAAATCATTTTCCCTCTATTTATTTATCTTGCACTTTGCTTACCTTGATGGTCTCCTTCCTTACTGTCTTCTAAACAGTGTGAAACAGGCTTTCTTGGATGGGGAGACATTAAAGTATATGTGAAATGAGGCTCAGATCACACATTTCCATCTCTAAATTATGACTTGACAATAGTCCTCTTTTTCTGTATGTCTCCCTGAGGAAATAGTATCAATTAAAGAGATAAAACTGAACATTCTGTGTAGTGTTTTCATGCGTGGATGTAGTTAAGGGGCATATATTTTATTGTGGTCCTTAAATATGTCAGTCTGCCTATTTTCTGTTTTGATTCATATAAAAGAAGAATAAAGACAGACAAGGAATAGAAGTCTTTAATTCTGTAGTTCAGTTGCATGCATATTTCTTTCCTGGGCTGGACTACTTTTCTTCTACTCAGTAAACCCTAAAGGATGTGTGCTGCAGTTTTCCTTTGTGTAGAGTATATTTTAGGCATTTTTTCTATAGGTTAAGAAGCCAAAGGAGCTGCTA